CAGCAAGTGGAAATGAACCCTCATAATACAGATCGGTGCGGGATTTTGTTACTGCTGCCGTCATTGGAGCGCGGCCGGCTCTGGGAAATCAGACGGAAACGGGTGTAAAAAGGAAGATTTTAATAAAGAATCAGAAATTCACCTTCTAAATCAGCTCAATGTGAGCGAGAGCACAGCGGGGCAAATCAGACATCGTCTGCCCCTCCCCCCCAGGCCCAACGCCTGGCTGGGCTCAGTGTAATATGGCCTCATCTCTCATTGGATGAAGTCAAATCCCGGCAATGTCCAGTCTGTGACCCCTGACCCCCCTAGGGCCGGCCCGGTCACATATATAAGTGCTGTCAGGTGGGGAGGGGGGGTGTATAAAATTCACCAACATGTAAAAACGGATAAAAACAAGATAGAAATATCCGGGTGAAGGCGGGCCTGGTTCTGGTGGGCCTGGTTCTGGGGGTTCCCCCGGCAGTGAGGGGACTACAGACATTGCTGTCATTGCACCGGCTGCCGCTATACCGGCCCCTCAGGACTTCACCATCCCTGTGCTGAGTTCCCGGGTCTGTACCCCCGCTGTGCCCATTATGAGGGCCCCCCACCATCCCTGTGCTGAGTTCCCGGGTCTGTACACCCGCTGTGCCCATTATGAGGAGCTCCCACCATCTCCTCACCTTGTGTATGGACTCCAGCTGGACACGCTCCATGTTTACATCCCCCTTCGTCTCATTGATCTGCATCCTCTTGGTGGGTTTCCGGCTGTTAATGCGATGGAAGTCCCTCTGCAGAGAAGCGTAGGCGGGGTCAGCACAGTGTGTGGGCGGGGCAGAGGTCAGCACAGTGTGGGGCGGGCCAGAGGTCAGCACAGTGTGGGGCGGGCCAGAGGTCAGCACAGTGTGGGCGGGGCAGAGGTCAGCACAGTGTGGGCGGGGCAGAGGTCAGCACGGGTTAGGCCGCTGCCCAGACGCTCCCCTAAGCATCCACATGTAGCTGCAGAATTGGGGGCTCTTAGATGGTCACAGGTACGATGGGGTTTGTAGTTTCACCTCTTCTGAGGTTTATATGAAATGTGTGAATGAGCAGAGGGACAATAACAGATCCGAGGCGGGAACCCCGGAGTTGGCCTTTAATATAAGAAATTCCCTATGGGGGGTGGGGCATGGTCACACAGGGGGAGGAGTCTCACCAGATCCGTGTCCTGGAAGAGGAGGGCGGCCCGGCTTTCTGCCGCTCGGAATGACTTCGGCTTGAAGCGCTGGTAGTCGGTGCTCTTGGTCAGCGGCGCGTCGGGTGGGCTCTGCACGTCGCCCTCTAAGGGAGCCGCGGAGGACAGGAAGTCCGCTTTATAAATGGGCTGCATGGAGGAGAACAGAGACAGGAAGTGACCATTACTGACAGAGCAGGAAGTCTCCTCTCCGTGCCGGACGTCTTCATGACAAATATATCCCATAATATCATCACCATGGATCCGACAACGGCATTATATTGCTGATCCTGCCAGAAATACCGTGTCCTCGTCACTTCCTGTGACATCATAAACAACGTTATCTTTCTCTTGTAAACTACTAACTCCCATCACTCCACCATGACACAGGCAGGCTGGTTTGTAGTCCTGTCCCAGGGTGACAACCATGGCTCCTTCTAAAGATACAGTACAGTGAGTGTTGTCACCCTCGGACAGGAAGCGTGTACCTGGCAGGATCACCAGGTGAAAGGAATGCAGCCGCCACATGTGGACTAGTAGGGAGCAGTAGGTGACGTTGGAGACACTCGGGAACAAGCGGCGGTCGTACTCACGAATCTGCGGTCAGCCGGGCGCTTGGTGTTAATGGAATGGACATTGAGAAACGGCATCAGGACGGCCATCACCTCGCCCGTGATATCCCCGGCGGTGACCGAGCCCAACCAGTCCGAGCCCGACACGCTCTGCAAAACAGCATGGAGGAGGAGAGGATGCTGGGAGATCCGGTGGCGGAACGTTCATCTCTATGTGCCGGGATACGTCCGGCAATAACCAACAACACAATGCATTTGCCTCAACCTCCACCCATCAATCCTGTCCCTCGTACCAAACCCCACCCCCTCCATCCAATCAGAGTGCTCCATACCAAACCCCACCCACTCCATCCAATCAGAGTCCCTCATACCAAACCCCACCCCCTCCATCCAATCAGAGTCCCTCATACCAAACCCCACCCCCTCCATCCAATCAGAGTCCCTCATACCAAACCCCACCCCCTCCATCCAATCAGAGTCCCTCATACCAAACCCCACCCCCTCCATCCAATCAGAGTCCCTCATACCAAACCCCACCCCCTCCATCCAATCAGAGTCCCTCATACCAAACCCCACCCCCTCCATCCAATCAGAGTCCCTCATACCAAACCCCACCCCCTCCATCCAATCAGAGTCCCTCATACCAAACCCCACCCCCTCCATCCAATCAGAGTCCCTCATACCAAACCCCACCCCCTCCATCCAATCAGAGTCCCTCATACCAAACCCCACCCCCTCCATCCAATCAGAGTCCCTCATACCAAACCCCACCCCCTCCATCCAATCAGAGTCCCTCATACCAAACCCCACCCCCTCCATCCAATCAGAGTCCCTCATACCAAACCCCACCCCCTCCATCCAATCAGAGTCCCTCATACCAAACCCCACCCCCTCCATCCAATCAGAGTCCCTCATACCAAACCCCACCCCCTCCATCCAATCAGAGTCCCTCATACCAAACCCCACCCCCTCCATCCAATCAGAGTCCCTCATACCAAACCCCACCCCCTCCATCCAATCAGAGTCCCTCATACCAAACCCCACCCCCTCCATCCAATCAGAGTCCCTCATACCAAACCCCACCCCCTCCATCCAATCAGAGTCCCTCATACCAAACCCCACCCCCTCCATCCAATCAGAGTCCCTCATACCAAACCCCACCCCCTCCATCCAATCAGAGTCCCTCATACCAAACCCCACCCCCTCCATCCAATCAGAGTCCCTCATACCAAACCCCACCCCCTCCATCCAATCAGAGTCCCTCATACCAAACCCCACCCCCTCCATCCAATCAGAGTCCCTCATACCAAACCCCACCCCCTCCATCCAATCAGAGTCCCTCATACCAAACCCCACCCCCTCCATCCAATCAGAGTCCCTCATACCAAACCCCACCCCCTCCATCCAATCAGAGTCCCTCATACCAAACCCCACCCCCTCCATCCAATCAGAGTCCCTCATACCAAACCCCACCCCCTCCATCCAATCAGAGTCCCTCATACCAAACCCCACCCCCTCCATCCAATCAGAGTCCCTCATACCAAACCCCACCCCCTCCATCCAATCAGAGTCCCTCATACCAAACCCCACCCCCTCCATCCAATCAGAGTCCCTCATACCAAACCCCACCCCCTCCATCCAATCAGAGTCCCTCATACCAAACCCCACCCCCTCCATCCAATCAGAGTCCCTCATACCAAACCCCACCCCCTCCATCCAATCAGAGTCCCTCATACCAAACCCCTCCCTCTGCCCACTCCATCCAATCCCCCAAACCAAACCCCACCCACTGCCCAGTTCATCCAATCACCAGAATCCCCCATACCAAACCCCACCCACTCCATCCAATCCTCCATACCAAACCCCACCCACTCCATCCAATCAGAGTGCTCCATACCAAACCCCACCCACTCCATACAATCCTCCACACCAAACCCCTCCCTCTGCCCACTCCATCCAATCAGGAGAGTCCTCCATGCCATACCCCGCCATCTGCCCACTCCATCCAATCCAGTCCTCCATATTGTATACTAGCCTCCTTCCAGTCCATCCTGTCACTAGTTGCCCCCATACCTTATCCCAACCCTTGCCCAGCCCATCCAAATAGTAGAGTCCTCAATACCATATCCCAACCTCTACCTAGTCAGTCCTCCATCCCTATCCCACCCTCTACCTAGTCAGTCCTCCATCCCTATCCCACCCTCTACCTAGTCAGTCCTCCATCCCTATCCCACCCTCTACCTAGTCAGTCCTCCATCCCTATCCCACCCTCTACCTAGTCAGTCCTCCATCCCTATCCCACCCTCTACCTAGTCAGTCCTCCATCCCTATCCCACCCTCTACCTAGTCAGTCCTCCATCCCTATCCCACCCTCTACCTAGTCAGTCCTCCATCCCTATCCCACCCTCTACCTAGTCAGTCCTCCATCCCTATCCCACCCTCTACCTAGTCAGTCCTCCATCCCTATCCCACCCTCTACCTAGTCAGTCCTCCATCCCTATCCCACCCTCTACCTAGTCAGTCCTCCATCCCTATCCCACCCTCTACCTAGTCAGTCCTCCATCCCTATCCCACCCTCTACCTAGTCAGTCCTCCATCCCTATCCCACCCTCTACCTAGTCAGTCCTCCATCCCTATCCCACCCTCTACCTAGTCAGTCCTCCATCCCTATCCCACCCTCTACCTAGTCAGTCCTCCATCCCTATCCCACCCTCTACCTAGTCAGTCCTCCATCCCTATCCCACCCTCTACCTAGTCAGTCCTCCATCCCTATCCCACCCTCTACCTAGTCAGTCCTCCATCCCTATCCCACCCTCTACCTAGTCAGTCCTCCATCCCTATCCCACCCTCTACCTAGTCAGTCCTCCATCCCTATCCCACCCTCTACCTAGTCAGTCCTCCATCCCTATCCCACCCTCTACCTAGTCAGTCCTCCATCCCTATCCCACCCTCTACCTAGTCAGTCCTCCATCCCTATCCCACCCTCTACCTAGTCAGTCCTCCATCCCTATCCCACCCTCTACCTAGTCAGTCCTCCATCCCTATCCCACCCTCTACCTAGTCAGTCCTCCATCCCTATCCCACCCTCTACCTAGTCAGTCCTCCATCCCTATCCCACCCTCTACCTAGTCAGTCCTCCATCCCTATCCCACCCTCTACCTAGTCAGTCCTCCATCCCTATCCCACCCTCTACCTAGTCAGTCCTCCATCCCTATCCCACCCTCTACCTAGTCAGTCCTCCATCCCTATCCCACCCTCTACCTAGTCAGTCCTCCATCCCTATCCCACCCTCTACCTAGTCAGTCCTCCATCCCTATCCCACCCTCTACCTAGTCAGTCCTCCATCCCTATCCCACCCTCTACCTAGTCAGTCCTCCATCCCTATCCCACCCTCTACCTAGTCAGTCCTCCATCCCTATCCCACCCTCTACCTAGTCAGTCCTCCATCCCTATCCCACCCTCTACCTAGTCAGTCCTCCATCCCTATCCCACCCTCTACCTAGTCAGTCCTCCATCCCTATCCCACCCTCTACCTAGTCAGTCCTCCATCCCTATCCCACCCTCTACCTAGTCAGTCCTCCATCCCTATCCCACCCTCTACCTAGTCAGTCCTCCATCCCTATCCCACCCTCTACCTAGTCAGTCCTCCATCCCTATCCCACCCTCTACCTAGTCAGTCCTCCATCCCTATCCCACCCTCTACCTAGTCAGTCCTCCATCCCTATCCCACCCTCTACCTAGTCAGTCCTCCATCCCTATCCCACCCTCTACCTAGTCAGTCCTCCATCCCTATCCCACCCTCTACCTAGTCAGTCCTCCATCCCTATCCCACCCTCTACCTAGTCAGTCCTCCATCCCTATCCCACCCTCTACCTAGTCAGTCCTCCATCCCTATCCCACCCTCTACCTAGTCAGTCCTCCATCCCTATCCCACCCTCTACCTAGTCAGTCCTCCATCCCTATCCCACCCTCTACCTAGTCAGTCCTCCATCCCTATCCCACCCTCTACCTAGTCAGTCCTCCATCCCTATCCCACCCTCTACCTAGTCAGTCCTCCATCCCTATCCCACCCTCTACCTAGTCAGTCCTCCATCCCTATCCCACCCTCTACCTAGTCAGTCCTCCATCCCTATCCCACCCTCTACCTAGTCAGTCCTCCATCCCTATCCCACCCTCTACCTAGTCAGTCCTCCATCCCTATCCCACCCTCTACCTAGTCAGTCCTCCATCCCTATCCCACCCTCTACCTAGTCAGTCCTCCATCCCTATCCCACCCTCTACCTAGTCAGTCCTCCATCCCTATCCCACCCTCTACCTAGTCAGTCCTCCATCCCTATCCCACCCTCTACCTAGTCAGTCCTCCATCCCTATCCCACCCTCTACCTAGTCAGTCCACCATACCTATCCCAACCTCTACCCAACCCATCCAACCTTCTCCATTCATAAATGTCACTTCCGCTCCACAGCTCCCATTACCCAGAATGCTCAGCTGACACAAATCCCGAGACCCTCCTCATCCTGGGAGGATAGGCACGACACAATAAGAAGAAGCTTTCCTTACCCAGGCCGTCCCTCTCCGCGGTGCAGCAAAGTATGGCTTGTATCCCATGAACCCCGAGTCCACATAATGGAGGCCGCACAGCCCGTACCTACAGCAAGACGGATCGGTTAGAACACGCGTGTGTCAAACTCAAGGCCCAGGGGCCGAATCGGGCCCACCGGGCCATCTCCTAGACTTCTACCTTCAGATCTCGGTATTAAGTTATTACTACAACCCGTGACAATGGAACGCAGAGGCGATGATGATGACTAGATACATTTATATCGTCTTACAGGCCCTTTGAGGGCCACCATAATGCTGATGCGGCCCACCATTACATTGAGATTGACACCCCTGCGTTAGAAGGTCCACCCCCCAGCTCTGGTAAGTGCCGCGGCGCCCCCATCCGGCATTGTCTGCTCAGGACTAGGAGTCTCAGCTCGAAGTAATTTGCCCCCAATATGTGGAGATACTTACGCGGCAAAGCAGTTGTCTTGTGCCACCACCACCCCGCAATATGGCAGCAGCCACGTCATCTCCGTGCTCTGGAAGCGCTTAAAATCATTAATCGGAGCCGCCAACCGCCGGAGGTCCCAAAACTTCAAATTTCGATCAGCACCGCACGTCACAATGAAATTACTGAGAGAGAGAGAGCACATCGACCAATCACGTAGCGGCAATAAGATGTTCAGTCTGAGCAGGTATTGGTCACATGACCTGGATAGGAGGTGCAGATATCCCCATAGGAGATGTAACCCATGCGGACCTGACACCACGGGAATTCACCAACATGGTGGGCATCCAGTGTGGGTGGTGCACAGGGATGGGAGTGGGTCTGGACTGGGTGCCGGTGAGATCGCACCCACCCACAGAAGGGAGCATGGTATCGTCCTTCCGTGAACCGCTAGGAGTAGCAAATGCAACTGGAAGCCATATTTCCCCATAGGGAGAACACAGCGGGGCACGGTCACACATACAGGAAACAGGAGACATTCGGGGGGGAGTGCCTGGGGGTTAGACAAGCACAGGTTCCCTTTAACTGCCCCCGACCCCCACTGTCGCTCACTCTCTCATCCAGTACCTGTCTGCCTTGCACCATTCGATGCAGCGCACAGCATGGTTGTGGGCCGGAAAGCTGAGGAACGGGTACTGCTTGATCACATGACCCTGGCGCACCTTCTGAAGAATAGATTTGGTATACAGATCCCAGATGGACACCGTGCCTGGAAGGCAGACAAGACACAGAGTTCAGAAGCCGTCCTGTACTGAGCAGACCTCTCCTAAAAAGTGCTGGTTACCTGGCTCCCTGTGACGATTCCCCTCGGGGCCAGGCCGCCTCGGTCCTGCCGGCTTCCATGACGGCCGCTTCGCGTTCCACTGTGGAACGCGGAAGTCGCTCGACTTCCTGATTGTGAAGCGAGCGGCTTGCGTTCCATGGTGGAACGCGGAAGTCACTCGTTCCGGCCGGCGGCTCCTCCCACATCCTGGGGCTATTTAAAGCTCCAGCTGAGGCAGCATGGCGTTCAACAATTGGAGTCAGAACGCCTGCTGCCTCCTGAACCCCTCATCACTGGACCCCCAACTCTCCACGTGACGGACCACCATCCACCCGGACCCACACCCTGTACTACGCTGCTCTGCAACTGCTCAAAACAGCAGGTGTCGCTCCACTTGGAGCCTATTACAGTCAGCTCATAGCTATCCAATATTGTGCTGATCTGTGCCATTGTCACATGTCTGTGGGGAGAACCTATTGCTTATTGGGACACCAATAGACTCGTAATACTTCAGCGAGATACAAATCCCCCCTGGATCCCTATACCAAGACGTTGGTGGTGCTATGAGGAAATAGCCCATCTAATATTTTTGTTTAACCCTGGCTATGATGCAAGAGTCTCAAAGTCCCCCTTAAGACTGGGAGTGACGCCTGAGACTCACGTCTGAGAAGCCAAGTATTCAGAAAGGCCACCATATCCCCTCCGCAGTTGAGCTCCACTGCTATCACTCGCAGTAGACGTGACACTCCCATGATGACCCAATGGCTTCAGAACTTTGGCCATGATTTTGCCTGGTCAGTGATGCGAATTACTGGATCCAGGAGGGAGTCAGCCAGGTAACAAGCATCCTTAGCGGTCATTGCCCAAGAATACAGCCAGACACAGCGTAGGCTGAATACAAGGAATGAGCCATCATAACCAAGAACCCATCAGGCCCGGACCGGGGAGATCGACGAGGCGCAAAACTCACCATCGAAGAATCCAGCCGCCAGATACTGGTGGGGTTTAGAGTGGAGCCAGGCCACGGAGAAACACTGCCCATTGTCTCCAGGTTTACACGCCTTGACCGAGCCAACGTACAGCCGAACCACAGGGTCCACCTAGAAGAGAAGAACATCAGCCGACCACCTGACACCTTCCTTCCCATCGAGCTCCATGACCTGGACTAAACATAGCCGGAACCTTTCCCCAATCATGGCGGCTGCACACCCAAAGGGCCACTTATGGGGTATTGGGGGAGTTCAGATGGAAAGATCCGCTCTTGTGAGAGGTCTGTGTGGAGATACGGAGGAGCTCCAGGTATCAGGAGACATAGGATGGCGATCCATGAGGTGGACATTGTTGGGGCGGAGATCTTACGGGATGCAGTTGCACTATATGGCCAAGCTTGTGGACACTCCACCCGACCATCTCACCCATATAAGCTTCCAAAACCAAGGTCATTATGGATCTGTCCCCCATTTTCCATTAATATGGAGACCCCCCAAGGACATAGATTGCGTTGTCCTCCTCTGTGGCTATAAGTTTCCACTCTTCTGCTAGATTTAGGAGGGTGTCTGTGGGAATGTGTATCCATCTGTGAGGTCAGGTACTGATGCTGGATGAGAAGACCGGGCTCATCATTGCCATTCCAATTCACTCCAGGGGACAGTCATGGGGGGGACAGAAAAGGGTCTTCACCAAACTGTGACCACAAGGCTGGAAGAGCCCAACTGTCTACAATGTCTCTGTATGATGGAGAAGGAACGGAACCTTCACTGGAGACCCCTGAACCCCGTCATCTGAGGGAAGGGGGGGAACATACTGTGGGCCATATAGTAGGTGTGACGGTCCGGGGTTCACATACTTTGTGTATTTTACCTCTTTATATAGGACGTGGAAAAGAAATGAAAGCGGGTGGCAGGTGGAGGGTTTCCGGGGTCAGTACACGAAGTCCTTATGGATAAGACATGGAAACGGATTATGTACGAGGAACCAGTAATGACAGAGCTTCCACCATACATACTGGTCATAGAACTGGTTTCCATATCTTGGCGCCCAGGTATACAGATGGCTCCCGTGTTGGGACTATTGAGGGTTATAGTACAGACAACCTATGCATCCTTTATTCCGCCATCTACGGGGAGCAGATGTAACCCCATCCCATCCATCTCCATAAAGATGATCCGCTCGTTTCGCCTGAACGGCTTTAATTAAAAAGGACAAAGTGGCAGCTAAGTGAATATTGACCCCGAGATGGGGGAGGGGGCTAGAGAGCCTGACCATGCGTGGGACATACTACAATCATCTAACCATACAGACACGGAGGAGCGGCCGGGACACACACACAGGACAGGGGAGGAGCGGCCGGGACACACACACAGGACAGGGGAGGAGCGTAAGAAAGCCGTTATTTGCATCTCAGTAAATGGGCCCCGTGGTAGGGCCCGGACAATGGAAGATCTCTGCAGTCTGCCTGCCCCGCCCCCGTCTATAAATCCAGGGCGCGATGTACAGATAAGTCTCCCTCCAATGTGTGCCGAGAGATAAGAGGCGGCAGAGCGCCGGAATAATTGCGGTGTCACCGGATGATAAATAACCGGACTCGGCCATACAATGGATGCCGCATCTCTACATGTTACCCAGACGCTAAAAAGAGGGAGTGTGGTTCTATAGATTGGGAGAGGGGCCTTGGTTGTGGAGGGGGTTCTATAGATTGGGAGAGGGGCCTTGGTTGTGGAGGGGGTTCTATAGATTGGGAGAGGGGCCTTGGTTGTGGAGGGGGTTCTATAGATTGGGGGAGGGGCTTGCCGTGGTGCTCTGGGCTGTGTGGGACCCTTTGGTTACACTGCATGGATCAGGAGGACCCCAGTGACCTATATTCACATTATGGGGAGCCGAGTCTGTTTCCCTAGACCCCGGGACCGGTCCTGCTGGGTTATTAGGGAGGTTTGGGTCGCCAACACTATCTTCTGGTTGCAGAGTTTCGGACGGAGGTACCCAGTCGGGGGACCAGGCGGTCCGTCACATACCGAAAGTAACTTGTACAACTCCGGGCTGACCCCCCCACACCCTCCGTTAGGTTTGGGACCAGCCAAGGTCTTGCCTCCCGCCCCGAGATTGCTCCGCCTTGTAGGTGCAGCACGCTACAAGTACTGGCGGAAATGCCCCCAATGCCCGATACTGACCCTTTACATCGGCTGCCTGAGGTCCCACACTTCCCGGGGACCTCACAGTAGCAGTCTTTGACAGTGCCAGTCTGGCACCACATCTCCTCCTTCCCGGCACCCGCACAGCCCCGGAGAGGGCCAAATGCAACCCTGTATAATAGAATCATGGGATTTGTAGTCCTCTATTGCTGGTTCCCATTCTCCATGGCTGTATAATCATGGACTGAGACACAGTTCTTCTGAATTATAAAAGAAACTGCCCGGAAATCCTCAGTCTGTGTTGTTTTAGAAAAAAATGTCACCTGGCCCTTTGAAAATGGGAGATAAGTGGATCTTTAATGACTATTAATTTCTGCCGACTAACTGCCCCCCAGAGAGCCAGAGAGCGAGCCGACTCCCCCGAGACGAGTCCATCAATCAGTGCCGAGACCGCCAGAGGACGACGGCCAACCATTATATCCTCCACACTATTCTATCCGATACAGGACGCCGCACCCCAATACACCTCATCACCCCCGACACCACACAAAATAAACCTCATCACCGCCCCCCCCAATCCAATCCACCTCATCACCCCGACATACTCTTATAGTTTACATTCTATATTCACCCTTTGAAGACGTCGCACACAGCAGCTCTCTGATTGGTGGATGGCGGCGTCGCACTCGGTGTTCAGTGACGGGCGGCAGATGGGGAGATGGAGCCTCTCATCCGTGTAATAGGCATCTGTATGGTGATCAGACTTCACA